TACACACCCCAGTTCCTGGCTAAATCCTTTATATCTGCTAGAGTCTTCCCTCTCTACTTCCCAACTTCTGCTATTCTTTCCTATCACTTCTTTTCCTTATCCTTATTCTTTGCTTCAAATACTTTTTTTTACTATTGTGTTATGTTCCATAATAATTATGTGGGTTAGGTTGGGTTGGGTTGGGTACCAGTTTAATTGCTTTCTCTCTATTTTACTGATGAGAAAAAATTATATATTAGAAATATTTTATATATTTCAGGATACACGAAGAGATTCTGGTTCTAGTACACAACATAGTGGGGGAAGTTCTTATTTTTGCTGTCAAGAGACAGATTGTAGAGCGCGTTACCCTCAACCAATCACTAGTTTTAAAAGACAAAAATGTCTCCGTTATAAAAGGGACCGCCCGATTTTGCGATCAAAATCCGATATCAGCGATAGGTATTGGAGATCTGCGGAGCCCCCAGTGAGCCATCTGGAACAATTTTTTGAGCACCTCGGGCTTACCAGTGACAGTTTCGAGGATATGTTAAGCGATAGCAGATCCTCGGATAGTCCTGTCTTTTTCTCGGATGTATCCACCGTCGATTCAAGTCGACCCATCGATAACGTTGATCACTGCCAACCTCAAGCATTGAGGCCAAGCGAGCCCCCATCCATTGTGGAACGCAACGCTCGGATCATTAAGTGGTTGTGTAACTGTAGGAAGTCGCAATTATCATGAAGAAAAGAAGGTATATGAATTGAACGAAGAATTATTTCTTTTTTTTTATTAATGTTTCTTCTCATTTGTATATTGTGATATAAAAAAGATATTATTGATTCTGGAATAGTTAAAAATCGTTATTGTTGATTGGATTTTTTATTTTGATATTAATAGTTTAAAATTTAAAAAAAATATAAATTTATTAAGAAAGATTTAAAAAAATGCCAGTTTTGCACAAATTACTTACAAATTGGTGCTTTAATATTGAAATATATTTCTTAAATCATCATGTTAAAACAAGATATTGTTTTATATTGAAAAAATAAATTAATTTTACATTATAATTTATTGTTCAAAGAAATTGTCGAAATTTATTTACGTGATAACGCGAATATCTTAAATTATACACTTTTATATAAAAAGTTAGATGTTAAAACTAAAAGTATGGAACATGTTATATTAAATGATGTACTCTACGAGAATATTCATTGCCAGGTGTGTGATGAAACGTTCATATTGAGTTATAATCTTCTAAATCTATCTGTTACATACCGGGAATTTCATATAACTCGCAATATATGAATGCAATAACCATAGTTACGAAACTACTATGCATGTCCCACATAAAATGCAACATAGTGTAATAGTACAGTCCAGAGATCTGCAGCGAATAGCTCACGTAGTGAATCATATTCGCTGATTCGTTGCTTGAGTGTTGCCTTCATTCGTCACTAGTTATTGTGAATCATGTTGTATGGTGATCTTTCTTAAGTTACTGTATTGTCGACTTCCCATCACATTGGAAAACAAGGATTATCAAGGATTAACAAGGATTATTCCAGGGAATTTAGATAATTTTAGACACATTTTGACAATTTTAAATTCAATTTGATCATTTTAGGCAATTTTATAAATTTTTTTAGTTTTGAACAAGTATATATAATTTCAGTAACATTTTAATCATTTTGAATTCAACATTTTGTAAAATTTTGATAATTTTAGATACGTTTTGAATATTTTAGACAATTTTGTATAAGTTTAGCCAAATTTAGATAACTTTGGATACATTTAAATTGTGTCATAAATTCAACTTAACATTACTTTACTTATGTTCGGTATTAAAGTAACAATGATTGTATACAAAAGCACTACAGTGCACGCGCAGCAATGAATCATTTTAAATGATTCGCGAATGCGTTTAACGATTTTAAGCAGCGGCCTTTCGTTAGACTTGAGAGAGACGCCTACTGCTTGATGTTGTAGAACAACACTGCAGTGTGCCTTAGTGTTGATTCACCATTCGTTTTTCTGTGTCATTGTGGCGAATGAAACCATTCATGCAAGTCTCTGGTGCGGATATTGGCTAGTTTTGCAAAGCAAAAATTTTGCTTGGTAAAGGTGACGTCCTTATCATAACTTTGAGTTTCCGTCTTAAGAGACGCACAGCTAAACCCGAATGATTCTAGTTGTTGGTCTAGTGTTAGTTTTACTTTTAGTTCAATAAAAATATACAATAATCAAGCTCTGCATAACAATTAAAACTAGAACTAACACTATACCTAGAACTAAAATCATTTGGGTTTAGCCGCACGTGTCTAAGGCGGCTAAAAATGATCCTAGTTCCAGGTCTTGTATTAGTTCTAGTGATAGCGCTAATGTAAAACTAGAACTAACACTAAAACTAGAAACATTCAGACATGTTGCATATTATGTGGGATAAAGTAAATACGTTCGCCCTGCTTTCTATGGAAATATATTTTTATATATTGCATTTTAAGTGAAATTCCCTGTATAAACAAT